ATACCGTCACCCGTCACACGTTACCAATGAATAAGAATAATAAGAAAATCATCTGCTTCAGTGGCTCCGGTACCAGAAACGGAAGCTTCTGTGGGACGAGAGCTGGATCATCGACTTCTCAAAGATCAAGCAAGGTACCAGTTAGGACCAGTTCATACTGGTGATGAACATGTGAAGAAGCAGTCCAGAGGTCTGAACCGTAGCTCTTCTGGCACAGTTCTAAAGCAGCCGTCTTGGTTCCTGAAGGTAGAACCTCCTGATCTCTCCTGTGTCTGTAGATCAGGAGGCCCGGATGACCATGGGCAGCATCATGAGTGTACCGGTGGGGAACAGCAACAGCAGCTGTGTGACGGCTCTGAGCTACACGGGACAACCAGGGGCACGGAGAACCCTGTTCACCTGCACCGGGATCTAGTGAGCCTACCTGTCTGTCTGCCTGTCTATCTGTCTGTCAGTCTACCTGTCTGTGTCTGTCAGTCAAGCTGACGTTATCGGATCGTTAAAATTCGTTCAGTTATCCAGCAGTTCTTCTCCTGTGGAATCATGATAATAAATTATAATAATCATGTAAAAACTGTTCTCCAGTGACGGCAGAACGGTGGCCATCAAGAGGATCCAAACCAAATCGTTCTACCTGTCCAAGGCCATCCGACAGGAAGTCCAACAAGTCAGGTGACCACCAAGACCCACAAAGAGGAGACAGTTGTGTAGAAGGGTGGAGTACAAATGTTCGTGTTCACCCCCTCAGGGAGCTCGATCACCCCAACCTCTGCAAGTTTGTGGGCGGTTGCGTGGAGGTGCCGGACGTTGCCATAGTGACGGAGTACTGCCCAAAGGGAAGCCTCAACGACGTCCTCCTCAACGAGGACGTCCCGCTCAACTGGGGCTTCAGGTGAGCGCTTGGCCACTCTCAGGTGTCTGTGGCAGAGGGGAGGGAGAGGAAGTAACCGGCGCTTCGATTTCCTGCAGGTTCTCGTTCGCCACGGACATCGCCAGAGGGATGTCGTACCTGCACCAGCACCGGATCTGTCATGGCCGACTGAAGTCTCTGAACTGTGTGCTAGACGACCGTTGGGTCTGCAAGATCACAGGTGAGGGGAGGAGTCAGGGTTCAATCGATATGAAGTATGAATAACACAAAGCACTATTTTCACACTACTTAATAGCTAATACTCTCTGGGAATCCCGGCTCCTGATTGGACAGTTTTTCTGTCCTTACAGATTACGGGCTGAGGACGTTCCGCAGAGACGACGGGTCGGAGCCTCTCTCCACCTATCAGCAGAGCCTTCTTGAAGTGCACACGCCCCCCGAGTTCAGCAGGTCCAACGTGGAGCCCACGCTGGCGGCAGACGTGTTCAGGTACGCAGAACGTTACTGAACACTAAGAGAACCCAACAGAACAGAGATGGATGTGAGAGACTCAAAGACCCTAAACTGAAACCACAGAAGAAGAATGAAAGCTGCTGCTCTCCCGTTGTGTTCCTCCAGTTACTCCATCATCCTGCTGGAGATCGCGACCCGCAGCGACCCGGTCCCAGTGAGTCCAGCATACAAATGCATGCAGACACGTCTATCCACATATCCACATATGTACACTTGTGAATACTCCCCAGGTGGAGGAGGCCGCTGTGGAGAGCTCCTGGTGTCCTCCGCTACCAGAGCTCATCTCCAGCAGAGCTGAAGCTTGTCCATGTCCCTCCGACTACGTTGAGGTGAGACACTCAGCTGACGAGACGGGACAAAATGAGACCGAGACATTGTGAGCCTTTCGTCTAGATAAATGTAGATAATTAGTATTAAAAACACATGTCGCACAGTAACAGAATGTCGTGTAGACAAGTTGATGTCACTTCACACGGTGTCTTTAATCCGATTCCCTCCGTGTTGCATCGCTTTATACAAGTTAATTAAACTAAGTACATACGTAAATTAAGTAGTTCAGACCGGAGGCCATCTTTACCGGACCCGTTGTCATGGCGACTACAGCAGCAGGCTAACCTGAGTCTCCTGCCCCCCCGTGGTGCTGTAGCTGATCCGCCGGTGTCGTGCTCACAACCCCGTCCACCGACCCACCTTTGAGCAAATCAAGAAGTTTGTCCAGCGGATCAACCCGGTGAAAGTCAGCCCGGTGGACATGATGATGACCCTGGTGACCAGACGTCTCACTTCCTGTCATGTGATACTAGACCGAGCCACGTGACGTCCTCTGATACCTGGTCCTCGTTGATATGTTCAGATGGAGAAGTACAGTAAACATCTGGAGGTGCTGGTGGCCGAGCGGACGCAGGATCTAACCCACGAGAAGCAGAAGACCGACCGGCTGCTCTACAGTAGGCCTCCTGATATACAGGTCTTTGTCTGTCCTCGCCTGTCCTCCTCCGTTGACATCCTGTCTTGTGGTAGGCATGCTCCCCAAGCAGGTAGCTGACGACCTGCGACAGGGCAAACCGATGCAGGCTCAGAGCTACGTCAGCGCCACCATCTTCTTCAGGTAGGACCAGGAGACCCCTCGTCTTCTTCACGTGTTAAAGCTGCATTCTGTGTGGTGACCAGCAGGGGCGACTCCTCTGGTCTGTGCGTGAATGACTCTACAGCTCTTCCCTTCTATTCCCAATGTATCGTCCTCTTCAATGCAGAGGCCCCTTTAGGGCGGGGCTTCGCAGTGATTGACAGGTCTCCAACAGAGACGTATACGGCTAAAACAATAGATGACTATGTTTACTTCTTGCGTATTGTCTGAACTGTGTGTGTTTGTGTGCAGTGACATTGTTGGCTTCACCCAGCTCTCCAGCAGCAGCACTCCTTACCAGGTGGTGGACTTCCTCAACAAGCTCTACACCACCTTCGATGACATCATCGACAACTACGACGTCTACAAGGTGGAGACCATCGGAGACGCCTGTGAGTGACACACACACACACACACACACACACACACACACACACACACACACACACACACACAGTCGGTGGTATAACACGTGTCCCTGCAGACATGGTGGTGTCAGGGGTTCCTCAGGAGAACGGGATCCTTCACGCCTCAGAGATCTCTAGCATGGCTCTGGACCTGGTGGGGGTCTGCCGCACCTTCAGGATCCCCCACAAGCCCTCCACCCAGCTGCAGATACGGGCCGGCATCCACTCAGGTAGCATCCATCAGCGCCGTTGGTCAGGCCTGTTGATCAGACCTACTGACGAAGGTGTGGTCTCTGCAGGTCCGGTGGTAGCCGGCGTCGTGGGGACCAAGATGCCTCGTTACTGTTTGTTTGGAGACACGGTGAACACAGCTTCCAGGATGGAGTCCTCCAGTCTGGGTAACCGGTGTAACGTCATGAGGGACATTGAACACCGTCAGAGACCTTGAACTGGTCTTCAAACATCAACACATTGACACACAAAGTATCTGAGATCACAGACTGAAGTGATACTGACTAACAACATATATTAGTATGCAGGAGGAGTACTTTACGTGTATTTATACCCTGTGGTATTAGTACCTTTTCCTGAAGTACCTGAGTCTTTGCAGCCCTGAAGATTCAGTGCAGCTCCAGCACCTTCTACCTGCTGGAGGAGATCGGCGGATACCTGCTGGACTGCAGAGGGGTGATGCAGGTCAAGGTGAGCGCAGGTAGTACTGGGAGTACTGGGGGTACTGGGGGTACTGGGGGTACTGGGAGCAGCTTGGTACACCCTGTGCACTCTGTCTCTAACAGGGGAAGGGGGACATGGTGACCTACTGGCTGGAGGGGAAGAAGACGTCTCTGGTCTCCAAGGGCCTCGGCGCCATGACGACCAAACGCGTTGCCACGGAGACGGGGAAAGAGCGAGGGACACACCCGTCCATGCCAGGGCTGATGGACGACGACCTCCTTCACGCCGCCTAGGCAGTGCTAGTGTGCTACACGCTACACGCTACACGCATGCTTAAACACGTTAGTGATCGTTGAGTCAAAAGCTAAACTAGTGTATTCGACCTTTAATGTTTAGGAGTATTTAGTAGACTCAAAGGAAATAAAACCTATTTAATATTAAATATGTGACAGAAACAATCAAACTCAATAGTGTACTTTCTCACTGTACTACATTTAAGTATTTATTGTAACAATTTACTACAAAAAAAAATCTTAAAATGATTAAACACAAATACAGTTAATTAAAAAATTGCAAAAACAGATTTATACACTTAATTAAGAACTAGAGGTATTTTCAATGTGTTTGTATTTTTCATACAGTCAAATATAGTATATTCACAAACACGATGATCGGTTGATTTATCAGTTAATGTTTGCTTCTGTGTTCATGTTCTTGGTCCCTTGTAGTTAAATCGGTTTATGATTTATAAGAGTTTGTATGTTTAATGACCTGAAAACTTAAAATTCTTCTTTCACATAAACGACTCGTCTCTCTACATTTTCACATTTTAGGCACAAAACTTGAAAAAGGTTTTGATTGGTCTCCATCATGTTCATGTTTTATCAGTGATAAGTAAATATATTATTATCACTCGTTATTCTGAAGACGCTTAGAAATAATAAAAGTCTGATTTATTCTCCAACATCGAATGAAAGAAAATAAATTCAGATCAGAGCAGCAGAAAATCTCACACTTCTTACAAGAATCAGCAAACCTTTGTTATTTTTACTGTGTGTGTGTACATGTGTGTGTGTGGGTGTGTACATGTGTGTGTGTGCGTGTGTGTACATGTGTGTGCGTGTGTGTACATGTGCGTGTGTGTGTGCGTGTGCGTGTATGTGCGTGTGTGCGTGTGTGTACATGTGCGTGTGTGTGTGCGTGTGTGTACATGTGTGTGCGTGTCCAGCTGGTTCATTCAAAAACAGTCATATAAACATTTTCAGAATTCAGAGTTTTGACACTAGAAGACTTTTATTCAGAGGACATTAGCGCTCGATCCCTTTTGATTAATTCATGATCATTTTTCTCATATTTATTTGGTTGACACCGGTTAGCGTAGCGTAGCATAAAGACGAAGCAGAGGGACGTGGACTTCATTATCACCACATGAGGAGCAGAGGTTCGATTACAGGAGAGATTTTAATTACAGATGAGAGTGTTTGAAGTGTTAACAGAATGAGTGCTCACCGCTCTCTCTCTCTCCCTATTCACTGAGGGGCTCGCTCGCCCTCGTCCTGTGCAGCCGTATTACCACATCTGAGAGGACAGACACACGCTCCATAACCACGAGTGTTTGAAGTGTGTTCACAGCTCTTAGTTACCGAATACATCACCCTGTTTCAGTCTTTGCTTTCTGTGGGTCTGATTGGATCCCCGTGTGGCGCCTGTGGACCAATCACAGCGGAGGAAACTGACACTGAACCAAGTGTCAGCAAACAATAAATAAGAAACAGTACAAGTTGAAAAGGAATCATAACATGTAACCCTCAGACCAGCCGGTCTCATTGTCTCGTTGTCCTCGTGGACCAGACCAGCCGGTCTCAGTGGTCTCGTTGTCCTCGTGGACCAGACCAGCCGGTCTCAGTGGTCTCGTTGTCCTCGTGGACCAGACCAGCCGGTCTCAGTGGTCTCGTTGTCCCCGTGGACCAGACCAGCCGGTCTCAGTGGTCTCGTTGTCCTCGTGGACCAGACCAGCAGGTCTTGCTGGTCCTTGTAGTCTTGTTGTGCCGTGGCCCAGAAAGAACAGAAGGTCTCATTTAGCCTCGCTGTCCCCATGAGGTCCCGGTTAGTCCATTCATGAAGGGTCTCTACATTGTGGTTCAAGAAGTCTGCTCTGACGGTCAAGATTCTCAAAGCTGAAGTACAAGAGGACACGGACGGACGTATGGACAGACGAGAGGCTGCTGCCATCCAATGGGCTGTCAGTGCTGCTGCAGGAGGGCGGTCTGCTCCTCCAGCAGCCAATGAGCTGCGATCCTGCTGGCGTAGATCACGTAGGACCATGACAAGACCACCACAGCCAGCAGCACCTGAGGGACGATATTATACCCTGTTAACGGTAATACTACATGGTCAAAATACTCTGTTACAAGAGTCCTGTAATCAACATTACCAAATTAAATATCTTGAGTGTATCAAAATATATACACGGTATCAGTAAAAGGTTTGGACACACATACATAGGTAGCATAGATAGCATATACTAGCTGCCCCCTAGCTGCTCACTAGCAGCTCCCTAGCTGCTCACTAGATGCTCACTAGCTGCTCACTAGCTGCTCCCTAGCTGCTCCCTAGCTGCTCCCTAGATGCTCACTAGATGCTCACTAGCTGCTCACTAGATGCTCACTAGCTGCTCACTAGATGCTCACTAGATGCTCACTAGATGCTCACTAGCTGCTCCCTAGCTGCTCCCCTAGCTGCTCACTAGCTGCTCACTAGCTGCTCACTAGCTGCTCACTAGATGCTCACTAGATGCTCACTAGCTGCTCACTAGATGCTCACTAGATGCTCACTAGATGCTCACTAGATGCTCACTAGATGCTCACTAGCTGCTCCCTAGCTGCTCACTAGATGCTCACTAGCTGCTCACTAGCTGCTCACTAGCTGCTCACTAGCTGCTCACTAGATGCTCACTAGCTGCTCACTAGATGCTCACTAGATGCTCACTAGCTGCCCCCTAGCTGCTCACTAGATGCTCACTATATGCTCACTAGCTGCTCACTAGATGCTCACTAGCTGCCCCCTAGCTGCTCACTAGATGCCCCCTAGATGCTCACTAGATGCTCACTAGATGCTCACTAGCTGCCCCCTAGATGCTCACTAGATGCTCACTAGCTGCCCCCTAGATGCTCACTAGCTGCCCCCTAGCTGCCCCCTAGATGCTCACTAGCTGCCCCCTAGATGCTCACTAGCTGCTCACTAGCTGCCCCTAGATGCTCACTAGATGCTCACTAGATGCTCACTAGATGCTCACTAGATGCTCACTAGATGCTCACTAGCTGCCCCCTAGCTGCTCACTAGCTGCTCACTAGCTGCTCACTAGCTGCTCACTAGCTGCCCCCTAGATGCTCACTAGATGCTCACTAGCTGCTCCCTAGCTGCTCACTAGCTGCTCACTAGCTGCTCACTAGATGCTCACTAGCTGCTCACTAGATGCTCACTAGCTGCCCCCTAGATGCTCACTAGCTGCTCCCTAGCTGCTCACTAGATGCTCACTAGCTGCCCCCTAGATGCTCACTAGATGCTCACTAGATGCCCCCTAGATGCTCACTAGCTGCTCACTAGCTGTGACTTTACCGCAGAGTAGATTCCGTTTAGATCCCGTCGGCTGAACGTCGCCATCCTGCCTCCCAAACCGCTTTACTCTTCTTCTGTGGTTCCTGATGTCGGTTTGTAGACACGCACGTTTGAGCGCCCCCTTGTTTACTGACACGTTCATGTCAGTAATAGTAGTACTTGTACTTGTACGCTAGTAACAGTACTACTAATGCATTAGCAGTGATAATATATTAATATAATTAACAATAGTACTAATACATCAACGTAACTAGTACAGTAGTAAACATAATAGTTCTAATACATATTGACAGTAGTACTAATGCAATCATATAATTCACAATAATATTATAACATTAACACAATTAATAATATTGCTAATACACTAACATTTTCAAAAATAGTACTAATACACAATTTGTATACATTATTATATTTACATCAGTAGTACTAATGGTTACATAACATAAAATTGCCTTATTTGAGAAAATTGCACTTTCTTGTTTCTTGCTCTTCTGAGTTTGTATCCTTATGGTTGAAATGCAGTCAGCTAAATGACGTGATGTAATGTAACATTATTCTCTAGTAAAGTACTTGCGCCACTACATAACCACTTATGAGTGTGTATTTATAATACTACAATCAACACACGCGAGAGCTGTCATGGATATGTAGGAATGAGTAAGTACTAATATATTATCATCATTTATTAAGGAGAAAATATGAAAAAATGTAAATCATCTTTATTTACGATCTTTGGCAAAAAAGAAAAAAATCCATTGCTCCATGTCCCATGATGCATCGCGGCACCTTTCTCTCTCCAGCTGTGTGTGTAGCTTCGGTTTGGGCGACAAGACCCGACACAAATGTCCCCGTTTTTACCGGGAGTTTCACTGTGAACGGGTCCGAGCAGCGGCGCCCGGTGGACCGGTAACCCCGATGCCGCTCACGGCGCGGAACTCTGCCCGGAGGAGGAGGAGGAAAACCCCGGATGAGAAGCTCCCGGTGCGACCCGGGGAGTCGACTTCTTCTTCTGCTGCTCGGGTACCTGGAGATAGCCGCATTAGCATGCTAACAGGCTAACAAGCCGACAGGAACCCCCCTTGTTTATGTCCTCGCGCCCCATTGTCCACCGCGTCACGGTGACTGTGCACCGGGAGTCACTACGGGGGGAGCCGTGGTTTTAAATCACGTGATTGTAACCTTAAAGCTGCCGGTTTGCTGAGTGCTAATGGGAGCTAACAGAGTGCTAGCATGTTAGCCCAGTAGCTTTAAAGCTCGTTTCAATTGGTTTAGGAGGAAGCTAAAGTAAAAGTTAAAAAAAACACTGTAAATTCGGTGAATGCAAACTAGCTCAGCATTCTATTAGCTTGTTTTGTCAATTGTCAACTATAACCCCAAAGTATTTATCTTTGTTTTTATTGACGTGGGGACAACTGATGACGACTTCCTGTCTGTGATCAGGTGATGGAGCCCACCAGGATGAAGCTGCGAGTGCGTCGCCGTGACAATGCGTCCGCAGACGCCACGCCGGCAGCAAACCAGCCGGAGGAAGAGGAGCGTAGCCGAGAGTCCGGCAGGCGCGGCAGCAGGAGGAAAACAGGCGGAGCCACGTCGACCGCGGCTAACGCCTCCTCCTGGTCACCTCCTCCGCCCACCTCCTCCACGGCCTCCGCGCGGGCCGCCATGGCGGTCGCAGAGGAGGCGTCGCCCGACTCCAAGTGCCCGATCTGCCTAGACCGCTTCAATAACCTAGCGTACCTGGACCGCTGCCTGCACCGCTTCTGCTTCCCGTGCATCCAGGAGTGGTCCCACAACAAGGCCGAGTGCCCCCTGTGCAAGCAGCCCTTCGCCTCCATCCTGCACTCGGTGCGCGCCGAGGACGACTTCAAGGAGTACACACTGCGCCCGGCGCCCGCCAACAGCAGCGTGGCCGCCACCGTCGCCATGGTGGCCGCCATGGCCTCGGCGGCTAGGAGCGACCACCAGATGAGGCTGACGCTGAGGAGGCACCAGGGCGCCGATGGCGAGGAGGCAGCCACGACGACGGCAGCGGCGAGGAGGCGTCAGAGGGGGAGGAGGTCGGGGGTGTGGGAGTGGTACCTGGACACCCCCCCGCTCGCGTTGCTGCCTCTGGCTCGCCACTCCAATGCATCTCCCTTTGTGGCGGAGGACAGCGGGGAGGGGGAGGAGCTTGGGGAGCAGAGGGCGAGCGGTGGGTCCGAGCTGGCGGAGCGTGGCGTGATATTTGAGGGGCTGACGGGACTCAGTGGTGCGGAAGCACCCGTGGCACCCAACGACCGGGCAGCGCGACGGCTGATGACCCGCCTGATGGCGAGGCGGCGGTTGCAGCGGGAGGGCGGGGCCGTGCGCCAGCTGAGGGAGAGAGAGACGGGTGGCGTTCCGCCGCGCGTTCTACCGCAATGGCATACGGGTCCGCGGCGTCGCTGGGGCTGAAGGCAACCAGGGAAAACCGTGCGAAATCACGGCGGAGAGCTTCCGCCGTAACCCCACACACCTTAAATAGGCT